CAGCTTAATTGGAGACAGCTACCCTGCAGCTGTCTAGTGTTAGGTGAATCCCAGCCAAAGATTTAATGGACAAGGTGTACTATGCTCTGTACGTCTGCCCAGCACGCTGCTGACAATTGATCGTGTACGTGCAATGGATAGCATCCAGCCCAGCTGGGGAGGATGGACAGGATGAGGATCTGAATCAGCGGGTGAGATACTCCATCGCTGTTCAAAATGTTTTTCTTCAACAGTAAATGGGCAGTGAGGTCTCAGAAGGACTCAGCTCTGAGTGAGGCAGCTGCTGAAATTGTTTCTTGGTGTATAGTGAGACATGCAGCCAGTTCTAAAAGGCTGTTTTTAGATCATGGACATATCTGCCAGCACAGATAAGGAGCTGCCTGCCAATTCCAAACATACACACACGACATTCACTCAATCACACACAAACATAAACAAGCAAATAAACAAACTCCCCCTCCCATAAACTAATCAAGCTTTTTCTCCTTCAGATCGAAAAGGAAGAAAGAAACAGCCTGCTATTGTTTTGGTTTGGTTTTTGCTTCTTTTCTCTTTTTAAATACAAGGAGGGGCTCAGATACTATATTGAAGCTGAAGCTATTTAGATACATAATCAAATATGCAGTTTTAGGAGTTAGTTTAGCCCTATCTGTCTGAAAAATAAATGGAAATAAAATCATAAAACTTTTGCCAGCTTTGTTAAATGAGATTGGAATCCATCCATTATGTGGGGGCCTTCAATCTTCACACTGTGAATCAACAAAATCAATGAATGTTGGGCTTAATTGGCCAAATTGATTGTATATTAAAACTGATTTAATTACTTCATTGCCATTATAGTAGGGATAAATCTGGCTAAGTCACTTTGATTTTAAAATGCCAGTCTTTCTGTAGAAATTTAGTTTTGGAAGGGGCTGGGGAATGACCTTGTTTAAGAATCAGAATAATGATTGTTTTGGCTTGATAAGCCTGGCTCTGTTTTTCCTGCCTTGAAACTTTCTCTCTTCTATTGAGTAACCTTTAGAATTTAATTTAATTGAAGAAAAAGTGCCCTGAGACTTTCTGTGTGTATTCAAGTAGTGGATAACATGAATTTTTAAGCTGACATAACAAGTCTTAACATGGCTTCTGATTCATTCCTGACATAGCCATCATAATACTGGAGATGTCAGAGTATTTGGAAGATAGCACTGCTGGAGAATGTGCCATAAATATAAAAGAGAATAATTAAATTAGATCCTCTCAGGATGAACATGCTAAACTCAGACCAGAGTGCATGTACAGTATATTAAAAATAAATACTTGTACTGCACAGGCAGTGATTCAGCTGTCATTTGAATTCAGTGAAACTTTTCATGCAAACTAATTTCAGTGAACTTAAGAGTAACGTACTCTTAAGAGTACTTACTTACGAGTAAGTTACTCTCATGCAGAAATAGGTTCACATAGTCACTGACTTATTTCTGACCTGAAGCCAGGTAGGTGCAATAAGACTGAAACCAGCCATTTTATTTCTTTTATTATTTGTGGTTCAGTGTCTGAGTCAGGTGGCTGGAGTTCTCTTTTTACTTCTGAGGTAACGTTGAAAAAGTCATTTCACCATCATGTGCCACAGTTTCCTTAGTTACAGGTATGAATAGCAGTGCATAACCATCTTTCAAAAGAGCTTTGAGATTTATAGACTAAAGTATGAGAGTGAAAAGTAATTTTTATTATTTTCACTGTCAGAATTCACCAAGCTCAGGTTTGTCCCCTTTTGCAGTACTCATACAAAGTGCTGTCCAACTGGTATGTTGTGACTGTCTGCATCTCTGGATTTCACTGAGTAGAATTTCTTGAGCTTTGGGCCAATGCTATGTAAGACCACCCATACAACAGCAAAATGGTTGGGAACTCCAGCCCACTGAGTGGGATTCAGTTCCACATTAAGACCCTTGCATTCAGACACCTCCATGTGAAATAGGGAACTGTGCTGCCGTTGGAGTCGATAGATGTCTGGTTAAAACAATTGGTAGTGCCTCCGGGATGACCTGACCAGCTAATGCAGACTGGTTTCAGCCATCTAAACAGAGGTATCTGGCATAACTTTTAGGTGGTGTGAACCTGGCCTGTAGTTGTCTTTCAAGACAGGTGTGGGTCTCCTCTAAGTCCCTTGTGATACCTGCCTGCCAAATGTAGATGCCTGAGACATCCTGGAGCATCCAATGGCGAGAGATGACAGTAAGGCAACTGTATCCCTTTGTCCAGGCTTGATTCAGTCACCATCACGTAGGCTCCTAGTGCTATTTGAGGTGAAAGAGGGTATCTAAGACCCCTGTGTGGGGCTGGCAGATATGGTTAAAACTGAGAGAGAAATAGGCCCTTCTGGAGTGGCAGCTGAGAGCCATCAGGATACTCTGGGAACTAGCTAGAGCTAGGTGTCGGCCTGAGTGGTTGACCTGAGCTCTCTGAGTCTAATCTAGGTTGTTCTGAACCGTTCTCCAGGCTCCACTGACTGTATTGACTAGGTCGCTATTGATTATAATGGAAAAACATCTAGCTTGTGAAATTGTCTAAATTTGGGCATGTTTGTCCTGAACTGAATCCTACTTGCCCCCCGCCCCCTCCCAGAAGGCCAACCGTATCCTGGGCTGCATCAAAAGCAGCGTGGCCAGCAGGTCGAGGGAGGTGATTCTGCCCCTCTGCTCTGCTCTGGTGAGACCTCACCTGGAGTGCTGCGTCCAGCTCTGGGGCCCTCAGCACAAGAAGGACATGGAGCTGTTGGAGCGGGTCCAGAGGAGGGCCACAAAAATGATCCAAGGGCTGGAGCACCTCTCCTACGAGGACAGGCTGAGAGAGTTGGGGTTGTTCAGCCTGGAGAAGAGAAGGCTGCGGGGAGACCTTACTGCGGCCTTTTAGTACCTAAAGGGGGCCTATAGAAAGGATGGGAGAATCTTTTTAGCAAGGCCTGTTGTGACAGGACAAGGAATAATGGTTTTAAACTAAAGGAGGATAGATTTAGACTGGATATAAGGAAGAAATGTTTTACAATGAGGGTGGTGAAGCACTGGAACAGGTTGCCCAGAGAGGTAGGGGAGGCCCCATCCCTGGAAACCTTCAAGGCCAGGTTGGACGGGGCTCTGAGCAACCTGATCTGGTTAAAGCTGTCCCTGCTTACTGCAGCGGGGTTGGGCTGGATGATCTCTAAAGCTCCCTTCAAACCCAAAATATTCTATGATTCTATGATTTTGATTGGTAGGGACCTACAACAATCGTCTAATCCAACTGCCTGACCACTTCAGGGCTGACCAAATGTTAAAGCATTATTCTAACCTGCAAGTAATCCTTTTTGAAAATATACCTTATTTTCTTTTATTGCACATTCTGTATGTTCTTTTTCCTGAAGACATTTTTTTCTTTAATAAAGAACAGTAAGACTTCACTTTCCAAAGTAATATTTCCAAACATCACTTTCTGCTATAGCAAAGTGAACTGCATCAGTGGCTGTCAGGGAAAGCAAATATGGCAAAAAGAGTCTGTTTGACTGAAAATTCATTTACTGTTCTGCATACATTGAAACTGCAGGGCAAAAAGGCCACAAAATATCAGATGTGCTTGTGTATGAAGTTAGTATAGAATCAGGTTTGAATAAAATATGAGTTGTAACAAATGCGAATATGGCATTAGGCAGATGATGTAGTGTTATAAAAACACTCAGGACACATCTCTGGTTCATCTGTCTGGAAATGAGGAGAGGTGGTAAAAACAGTCTTTTACTTGCTCTCCTTCAGCACATGGCTGCGCTGTCCAAATGGATACTGGGATATTGGAAAGTAGGCATCCCTCTGGAGACCTAAGTCTCTTGCAATAAAATTTTGTGATGAATGTTTTCTGGAGTAACTGACTTCATCTTTCTCTTGGTCCCAGCGCTTCCCAGCATGGGAAGTCAGTGGAATATTTTCTACTCTGGTGCTAGATAAGGCCAGTGGAAATTTATTGGTTAAGGACTGCAGGATCTGGTGCATAATGAACTCAACAAATCTCTACAGGAGCATGCCCTGTAATCCACTAGAGATGTTCAGGAAGGCCTGCTTGGCATGAAAAGAAGTTGTTGGAAAAGCCTTTTTCTTGTGCAGTGAGTCCCTGGAGTTTAAATGTGTTACCTCATCACCTAATAAAATGGCCAAAGCAGACATATGGGAAAGTGTCATCTTTTTTAAAGAGATTGAAGTTTTTTTATCAGGTGGTAGGAGGAAATTTTAATTGCATGCATTTGTGATATATGCAAATAAGATGCATCTGAATAAATAAAGCAGTTAAATGCTTGGTTTAGTGTCATTAAAGCTATTACTTTAAGGGTAGGATGTAGAGTTTTAAAGCTAACTGGATTTGTAATAAAAGTTAGGATTTTTCAAAGGCATCTCTGCAATTTGGCTACCACGTTTTCAAAGTTCCACAAAAAAATCTCAGCCTTCGTTTACTCACATGATTTACAGTAACTTCCAAAGTGTTGCGTGTGTTTCCTTCCCCGCTAGCAGCCAAGGAAACAGTCACCACCAAGCCTGAATTTTGGAAGTCCTTGCTGCTACTCTGTGCCCTGTAACACAGTTCACATGGATGGACAGAGCCATTGTGTCTCCATCGCCATCTCCACTGATGTTGATGCACCAGCTGCAATAATATTTCAAGTCAATCCCTGATTAGTTAGGGGAAGGTCAGCTATTTCTGACTGGCCTTGTCCAGACAGAGAAACAGAATGAAGCTCTGCCATCAGTGTCCTAAAATAGAAGGCTCTTTTCATCTGTCAGGCTTGAGTCAGCCACATGGAACACAAATTAGGAGACACAAATCAACTCATAGGGCATTGGGAAACACAGGCAGAAAGTAAAGTGAAGAGAAACTTCAGATATGAGCTGTATTCTCCAAACAGCTTTTTAGTCACTTCCCCCAAAATTTTATTTATTTTACTGCTTCTTCTTTTTTAGTTCCTTTCTTTTTTTTTGTTGAAGATAACTTCGATAATGAAACTCAATGTGGGGATATTTTTTGGAGGCTTCTTTGCAGCTCTGGGGGTTTTGCTTTTTTTGGTGGCATTTGGAACTGATTATTGGCTTCTTGCAACAGAAATAGGAAGGTGTTCAAAAGCGCCTGAAGATGCTGTGGTTAGTATGGACATTTTTATTTATAATGAGAAATGTATATGTAGGTTTCTTGGGTGTGTTTATTTTGTAAGAATTTATTTCTGTATGAGCTTTTGAGTATACTCATTTTGACCTTCTGGAGGCTTACAAACCTGCTTCAAAACCGCTTGTAACCAGTTGTAATCAACTCTAAAATGAATTTGTCTTTTCTGATACTACTTTTGCAGTATGACATTCTTTCCAAGGAAGCATAACTGTTTAGATATGCTATAGCTAACCTATATTCAGATAGGCTGTGTTTCATTATGATGGTCATGGTTTTTACCTCAACATATAATTTCAGTTGAACTCTATTCTTTCAGCCATTTAAAAATTATATGATAATGTCTTTTTTTCCCCTCTCATAGGGAGAGAAGGCCACTTTCCATCATGAAGGCTTCTTCTGGAGGTGCTGGTTCAATGGAAATGTAGAAGAGAATAATGTCAGCATGTGGAATTTCTGGTATAGTAAGTAACTTTTTCCTTTTACATTATCTACAGTAGTTTGTTCTCAGAATTGTTGTGTTTTCTTTTTCCATCTTGTGAATCACTGGGTTTCATATGGCTTCATTGGTGATCAGGTTCTTCAGCTACCCTAAAATAAATTCTTGACAAACATTTTTGTAATCTGTAATTTGTACGGATTACAAAAGGGAAAAAATGAAACCCCAGGGCAAAATCATACATGTTTACTGTCAGCTTAGCTGTGAGTGTTATGGCTGTCCTGTTAACCTGAGTCCATTCTTATCAGGACAGTCTCTTGCCACTTATTGTTAAACAGACTGTTTATTTCTGTAATGTA